CGTTTTGGTATAGCCCCCATATAACGGTACCTGGCGATATTCGGTAATTTGATGATTTTTGGCACATTTTTTCAGGGATTTTTCGAAAATTGGTATTTGTTGGTCATAATTGGTTCCAGCTTCGGTGGCGAAACATTGCATGCATGGGTCCATGATTTGATATAGCCCCCATATAACGGTACCTCCCGATATTCGGTATTTTGATGGTTTTTGCCACATTTTTTCACTGATTTGTCTAAAAATTGGTATTTGTGGGTCATAATGGGTTCCAGCTCCGGTGGCGAAACATTGTAATTATAGGTCCACGTTTTGGTATAGCCCCCATATAACGGTACCTCCCCATAATCGGCATTTTAATGGTTTTTGCCACATTTCTTCTAATGTTTCTTTTACCCTAAGGTGGAGGGTATTAAAAGTTTGGCCAGGCCGAACTTAATGTTTTTTTACTCGTTTTTGTTATCGAATGGTGTTCTCAAATTACAAGTGAAACTGCTTCAAATTGTAAAGTATTTTTTGGAACTACGTTTCAAAATGGTGAGGATGAATTTAATTTTTGTATTGTGGTTTGTAATTTTTATAACGTCAACTACACTGACATATTGAAAATAAAATTCAAAGCATGGCCCAACATAGGCCACGATTCAAAGTGTACGTCGAGATGGTTGTAAAATATGCCTTTTAATTTTTTTAAAGTAGTTTTAAACTATAAACTTTTCATACAATATTTGACGATTCTCTAGAAATGGGGTGGAAACACATGCGACTTCAATGTAAAAAATGGCAGAACGTGAGAATATTTAGCGATATAAAATAATTCGCATTTACTTTTAATATTTCATGCCATCATCGTTCGTTCAAGACATTAAAACAAATAAACAACAAATAATAATGAAAACATTTGTGGTATTTTTGTTGTTGTTTTCTTATTATAAGGGGATTTTTATTGGAGAGTAAAAAGATTATGACGTAATAGGTTATGAATATAATGAATTTTTAATTAATTCAAAATATTTTTCTATACAGATACACAAGAAGAAATTCCAACAGCAAGTGTGGGAGCTGTTCCCATTGAATGACATCTAACACAAACTGTAATGAAATAGCTTAGACTCGTATTTAATTTACATATTTTTGTATGTATGTGGTCACCACTTCCGATGTCAAAAACCTCATGCTTCTGGAACAAAATGCTTCTGCCAACTCTCTGCGTTACATGCATCAAACTTTCAGTTTCGTGACTTTCTGCCACACATACTGACAACCATCTGCATGTATCACTTTAACCAATTAAATTAGTTGATCTTCATATTGACCCACCCATACGAAAAAACATTAATTATTGATCGAAAATTCACTGTCACATATACGATCTCAACAGTCTCATATGAGGCATAAATATTTCTCTGTCTACCACTACTTCTGTGCTTAGCTTAGAAATCATGAATTAAAAAAAAAACTATTGTTTTGCGATTTTATTTTTTGTCTTCTTTATTCGTCAAGAAAAGTTTAGAATGCAACATCTAATAATTGTCTGAACAAAAAGCTAGTTCTATACCGCTACAACATCTGGTTAACCTCGGTTTAGAGAATACAAGTTCTAAACAAAAATACTGTTTGTCTTAATCAAGTGTACGTACTGCTATGTGCTATGCACATATGTATGTTAAAAAATATATTATTTTTATGCTTTTACAGAAAGTTGATTCACGTTTACGTTAGTGAAAAACACACAGTCTTCTTACAAATTAAATATCCCTGAGAATAATTGTCGAAGACAGTCAAAATATTGGGGGATATGAAAAACAAATTAAAAAACGAAAACATCAACAGCTTTTTTAAGAGCTTTAGCCAAACAATCATTAGCCAATGTTATAATTCAACTGGTCACCAAAAGCTAATAACAACCAAAAACACCACAATGTTTTCTTCTAATCTATATCTATAAAAGAGGAAAATGTTTGTACGTTTGTTTGTTTGTTTGTTTGTTTGTTTGTAATTTATGGACTCGAAAACTGCTGAATAGATTTTTCTGAAAATTTCCATATATACTGCAACATCGCCTGAAAGTAACATAGGCTATATACATTTTTGAATTTCCACTTGGAACTGGAGATATAGCATCAGAATCGGAGGTACCTCCCAAAAATTTAGATTTTATATGCACATATCTATTGATCGGTTAAAGATACAGTATACAAATTTGGAATGTGTAACGGAATTTGGAACAAAAATAAGTTTGCTAAATTATATTGTAATCGGTTCAGATTTGGATATAGCTCCCATATATATTTTCGACCGATTTCGTTCATTTGATGCCTCAAACACAATATGAATGTTCGATTCCAATGAAATTTGGAATATGTGACGGGATTTGATCCGAAAATAAATTTGTCAAATTATATTGAAATCGGTTCAGATTTGGATATAGCTCCCATATATATTTTCGGCCGATTTCAAGCATTTGATGCACCAAACACGCTATGTATCCCCAATTTCATTGAAATTTGAAACGTGTGATAGATTTTATCTAAAAAAATTTATTTCCCAAATTATATTGAAATCGGTTCAGATTTGGATATAGCTCCCATATATATTTTCGGCCGATTTCATGTATTTGGTGGACCAAATAAGATATGTATGTCCAAATTTAATGAAATTTAAAATAAGTAACGGAATCGGGAGCAAAAATGAATTTTTCAAATTATATTGAAATCGGTTCAGATTTGGATATAGCTCCCATATATATTTTCGACCGATTTCATGTATTTGATGCACCAAACACGCTATGTATCTCTAATTTCAATGAAATTTGGAATCTGTAGGGGAAATTAAAACGAATATACATTTGTCAAATTATAGTAAAATCGGTTCAGATTTGGATATAGCTCTCATATATATTTTCGACCGATTTCATGTATTTCATGCACCATGCACGATATGTATGTTCGATTCCAAAGAAATTTGGAATATGTAACGGGATTTTGATTAGAAAATAAATTAGTCAAATTATATTAAAATCGGTTCATATTTGGATATAGCTCCCATATATATTTTCCGCCGATTTCACATATTTGATGCACAAAACACGATACGTATTTCCGATTCCAATGAAATTCGGCATGAGTGGCTAAATTTGGTACAAAAATAAATTTGACAAATTATATTCAAATACGCTCAGATTTAATTATAGCTCCCATATATATACTCAGCCGATTTCACATATTTGATGCACCCAAAGCGAGAAAGACGAAATCTGGCACCAGAAAAAATTGCCAAATTTTATTGAAATCAGTTGAGGTTTGGGTATAGCTAACATATGTGTGGTTACAATAATAAATGTGACAAATTAATTGGAAATTAGTTAAGATTTGGATACAGCTCCCATATATATATTCTCGGCCGATTTCACGTATTTGACGCACCAATTTCAATGAAATATGAACGGTGTGGCGGAATTTGGTGTAAAAGTAATTTTTTTAAAATTATATTTAAATCGGGTCAGATTGGGATATGATTTTAATAAGAACCATTGACCCACAACGCCTTAGGGTAACACTAAAAAACAACACAACAATTAATTTGAAATACGCTTATTACGGCGAAGTATGTTGCTATCTCGAATTCATTAATTGCAACAGAAATGCCACTCAACTTCAAAAGATTGCAGTTTACTGCACGCTTGGTATTTGCTATGAAATAAATAAATCCGAAGGACAAACCCTTCGTGTATGTATGTCATGTTACTGTTTTTCTAATGGTTTTGTATATTTACGCATTAAAGTAGTGCAATAATTTTTTTTTTTTAATTATAAAATTTGTTTTTTTTTAACCAACATATATTCGTAAATAAAATTTTGAATGCATATAAAATCAAAAGGGGTAGCGAAGCGCACCGGGTTCAGCTAGTAATACATACAAATCGTTTTTATAATTGTTTATAATATTTTTTTTTTTTTTTTTTCATAGATCTAATGCTAAAATTTGGTACAGAAAGATGTACTGATCCATGATTAGGCAATATTCTGTAGTCGAAGATATTCTTCCAATGTAATTTGTAACAAGTATTTATCTTGGTGTGTGTATGTGTGGTTTAATGTTCGAAACTTGTTTCCATATCGATTCGCTTTTTCAGAGAACGGAAGCTTAGAATCGAATGTGGTTTGAAGTGAACGACAAATACCACTGATGAAATGAGTCGATTTTGAGGTGTGTACTTTTATATTTGATTCATACAGTCACCATGTTTTCGGTGAATTTTCTAAAACGCACGTACATCTGGGTAATAATCTTATGGAAAATTAAATATGTAAAATATTCATGAGAAAATTTGTATTTGATTCGCTCAAAACAACCTTAATGCCTTTGGGCATCTGTTAATCTTTTGTAATACAGACCGAATCGTTAAATTTGGGAAAACTGTAACTACACTTATTCAGAGCTCACTGTAATGTATAAAATATACTAAAATTACAAATTTCATTGATTTTTATTTCGCAAAATGCCAACAGAGTTGTGACCTTTAATAGGTAGGAATTCCGGTATTTGAAACTGCTCAGGACTATATGTTTCAATAAAGAGACCGTCACTAATTTTAGAGACTAAAAACAATTTAGCATTGAACATACAACTTCCATTGTGGCAATTTTTGAATTACTTACAATTTCGGCGATGAGTGACATATGTCGCTAAGTAGGGGATGAAAATAAAGATGTCAATAATAACTAACAATAGAAACAACATTCACTTTTCATATGATTACCGATTTTTGTCAGTCAAGTTTAAATCGACCTTTAAACATTTTGCCTATTTACAATAAGTCTTCATAAACAAGGATTATTCACTTGATCTTAATGTATCAAATTTACTGAACATTTTGTTGCAGAATGTAGCTAGAAATATGAAGGGAAATTGGCTAAGGATTAGCAAAGATCAATCGTGCCCAAACATTTGATTGCCACACTGACGCAGGTTAATTCAAATAATGCTAATGAATTACTCACCGAACATAGAATATTGAAGAGGAATAGAGTATATTTAACCATTGTCATTCCGCAACTCATTTTGATGCAATTTGTTTACAACTGAAAATTAAAACAATCAATATAATTTTAATTTTTTTTGTCTAAAATAACGTGTTTTTATTTAACGAATCATTAACGAGAGTGTGTGTGGTGTGGTAATGGTTTTTTCTATACATTTCTTAAATGGTATTAGGAAACTAAAATGTTAAGATTTGTCATTTTACTTTTGTTTGCTATAGACACAATTAATTGACACGTTAGTTTTAAGCAAACAATGTTGAGGTCGAATAATGTTTTTATAAGGTCAACAGCCTTATCGATATGCGGTTTTCAGTGTGTAAAATGATTAAAACACTCGGGACCTTCGCTTTGCGATTAACAGCATAAAAACTTTTGTCAAGGATATTCATCCATATTTTTAAAAAAAATTTAAATTCAAAAATTCTCAGTTTTTTAATTTTTTCGTACCCAAAAACAAATAAATATTTTAACAAATTAAATGCGTTGCCGCAGAACATAGTCATTTCTTTATATCGTCAATCCACCAATCTGTTTTTACCAAAAAACTTTCTTAATGAATCGGTTTTAAAAATAAGGCTAAAGCGTATAATAGCATATTTTTTGAATATGCCATTTATCGAATTTAAATCTGAAATCTTATAAATTAGAAGCTACATATAATGCATTGCTGTTTCTACTTAGTTTCTCTAACGAACTAATTCGGGCAATAACTTCTCCTTGGGCAACAACGAAGACTTCATCTCATAGAACTTTTTCCATAACCATGGGACGCTGGCAACCTTGAGCAATAAAGCTTCACGACTATGTGTAGATGCTTCAACTTTTGACAAATGCTGATAGTACTTGGCATTGTTCTTTATGCTCCCATTAGCATCTTGGTCATAGCGTGCAAAACGTAGCTTTAATAGAGTCTCTGAAATGTCAAGCAGACGATTACCCTTGGGCGGATGCACTAAACACAATTGTGAGACAACATATTCATCCGAGGCCTTTTTGTTCAGTGGTACAAACGTGGCCTCTTTTCCAATTAGACATTGCTGCAACCAGGCAAAACCGTTTCCATTTACCTTCACACCAGGCAATTTAATTGGTAGCAAACGTTTGTTGCTCATAAAGAATGGAATAAGTGGACGATGGCTGATGTATAGTAGAGTGTCGCTGCCTTTTTGTTGAATGTCTGCTATGCGTCCAGTATGCATGACACGTTCGTTGATTAAGCGATCCGGGATGTGGGAAGGCTTTTTGAAGGGACGCACTAGGTATGCCGGTTTGCGCTTGGCATAAGCTACCAATAACATTAGACTTGATGTGCCGTAGATCAGGACCTCGGTGCCAAGTGTTTCGCGTTCCATGAGATTGCATAAGTTTTGATACTTTTCGCTGAGGAAAGATGTTGTTTTGTCCATATTAGAGGATTTTTTCGTTCCTTATCACAGAATTGAAAAGTTTGATAATTGTGGTCGTGTCGATGGGTCAGTTTTGTTCAGCCTCACTGCGGCCAGTCTTTTATATTGGTTTCTTTTTAAGTACACTTTTTGTATATTTCAGTTCTTTTTGTCCGTGATATAACCTACAAAATTGAGACACCGATTAGAATTGGACATTAGCTGAGGTAAGGCAATTATAGCATATTTGAATTTGTTTAGCAAGCAGGAGGAGGAGATGACATCATAGTCTTTTTAATAAGCAAGATCGATATGTCTTCTCGCGACAAAACAATTTACCCCGCACAGCGGTATCCAAATCTTAGGAGATTGTGACAAGGCAGTTAGATGATTGGTGCTTTCGTTAATGTTGCGGCTGCTTTTGCTTTTTGGTTCGTCTACGTATGTATGGACTTTTATCTGGCCGATCGTTACTCAATAAAATATATATACAAATGATAGAGTATTTTTTCATACGACTCTTTCAACGTTCAACTTTGTCCACTAAATTTTTGTGTTTTTGAACTTTCACTGACATTCGGTTCGGCTGGTTTGGTTTTATGTTTTATTTATAAATATTGTTTTGCCCCACCTCCTATGTGTTTGACATTTATTTCGTGATGTGCTTTAATGTTTTGCTTCGTTCATCTTCAAAACAAAAACAAGTTTTCCTCCCTCTCCCTGCTCCCAGCATAGACCTTTATTCACATTTTAAGCTTAAAGCTCTCGCATCAGTAAAAACCATTAACAACTACACACACACTCTTCTGGCTTTCGTAAGGTTGGTTATTTTGAAAAATTTTCAGATTTTAATTTGAAACATTCCGATCAAACAATACCTTGTGTTTGGTTTCACTGAAACTATTCAATCCGAAACACTCTTGTCTTTGTTTCTACAAGCGTTATTGCCGAGCGTTTAACACGTCTAAACCAGCGTGATGTTCGTTACAAACTAACTGCCTCGATCGAAGTGTTAACTTTGTGTTTGGGCAATAATTTTGAATTGTTGTTTGTCAATTCAATTCATTCAGTTTTTGCTTTTGGCGCTAGTTTGCGTTGCTCACAGCAGCGCATTCTCATTTCATCAGCTCCTAAGAGCAACTACAATACACCAAAAACTTATTAATTCACCGTAATTTAAATTCTTACGAACTTTTCTCTGTGACGATATAGGTGTGTGTGTATGTAACATGGAGTCTTAGAAGAGAATTAGTTGAGCAAAAATACAGCTAATATCGCTGATCAAACATCTATTTTTCTGCTCAATTAACAATATCATGGATAAGACTAGGCCAACGACTTGGATGATTGTTAATATGAAAATTAATAGTAAATAATATCTTAATGAATGTAGTAGTGGACACGTTAGGGTGTATGGGATAAGAGTCTAATTGAAATTACTGTCTGAATGATATCTGATAAAAATTGAAATTAGTATGTAAATGATTTTTGGACCAAGATATCGAAACGGATAGAGTTCCGATTAGCATAAATTCTGTCAAGTTTAGATCAAATTGATTCAGACATAGCTATAGCTCCCACAATATATGTTTTATACGATTTTAAATCTAAGCCTCTTTAATTTCATAATATGCTCTCTATGACAATAAAGGACCACAACGGAAATCAGTAGGAACCGCCATATTAGATTTTAAATCTAAGCCCCTTCAATGACATAATATGCACATAAATGTGTATACTTTTTTTCGAGGTGTCACAAACGGAATAAAATTAGTATCTAATGGTGGAATTTATAATAAATCTATCGGTATAAATCCTTACGGATGCACGGAATATACATATTTTGATACGGTCAAAAATATGTCGCCGGATATAACTTTGGAGGAAATCCTGAGTTTCAAGTAGATTTAACCATAAATCTTGACTTGGTTAACACTTTTAACTTTGTGTTCGAAGATAAACACACTAATAAACAAAACTGTATTATTAGCTTCTAGCATTTGTCTCCCAAATTCGCTTTGTGACATCATATTGCTTGTTGATTCATACCGCAAGTATAGGCTATTTTGCCTTCACGGTCACTATTTAAACTTATAGTGACCTCGTGATTTGAAATTCTCAGAGGGAGAGAGCATGAGAGAGATATATTGGCGCCTTAATTATTCTTGCTTTCAAATAACGAAATAAAATATTTATGTTTGTCTTTCAAGCAATAACATTACACGATGCTGATCAAATTATTGAATGTAATTACATGAGGATGGAATTTTAACAAACGGACAATTTTTATATTTACGTATTTATGTACTTGTTAACGCACATCTCAGCTGTTCCTTCCAGGGTTTCAATTCCAAAGTCATAGTACCGGATTGAGAATTTTAGAAAAGTTGGTAAATAAAATGCATCGCACTTTTTTAAATAAAATAATTAATCACCTATTACATTTGCATTAGCCATAAATACACCAAAATGTTTTGTTTACCAACGAAATTTTCTATGATTTACTAACTATTCGTCCACATCCAATACATTGGATGTACATATATATTTTGTTTAGTGACAATATTTAACCTGTTTGTGCTGATCAATGTAGCCATAGAACCGCACTGGTAAACCTAGATCTTGACATTTTTTCCGCGTCCTTTCTCTTCTACAACACAACTTTTTGGGTTAGGCACAATCAATTAGTCTTCATCCAAAACTTTAACATAACCAACTCTAATACTAGAATCTGGGACACATTTTCATTTTATTTCTATATAACATTCCGTTTAATAAAGAAGTTATTTTCAATCATTTATTTCTAGTTCATATTGGAAATATATCAATTGTACGAAATTAATATCTCTTAATGTAGTTAATTTATACATGAAGTCAAAATCTTTAATTTTTTCACAAAAATCATTATTTACATTTAAATAGCATCGAATTAATTCGCAATTCACCAGCTTCAATGGAAATATGATGCATCTACACTTATGCAAATGTAGACAAATACCATAAACTAAATTAATTTTTACCCACATTAATATTTTAAATGTTGTGAAAATACAATGACTATATAGTTTGTCATCTAGAACAAAAAACACAAAGTATTTAAACACATTGTTTTTGAGCTACTTTAGCTAAAACATGCGGCGTGGATAATGCATAGGTTGTTGGGGTTGTTGCCCAGGTTGCCCCGGCATAACTGTTATCTGTTGTTGACGTGACATTTGAGTTTCGTGACCAACCGGCCCACGTCCTGGTGCATATCCTTGAATGCCCGATCCAGGTTTTGTACTCTGCGAAAAGTGTTTAAAATGACGTTAATAAGGCCTAAAAAATAATACAATAAAAATATAATTACTTGTGGAGGTGGTGCACCACCACTTATTTGCATCACATTTGGATGCAAAGGCAAATTCGGTATATAGACAACACTTTCAGATAATTGATGTGTCGGCTGTGGACCACCGTGTGAGTCATGTTTTACTTCTACATGATATCGATCCGAAATTTTTTCCATTGTTATTTGAGGCTTTTGCGATTGAATACTGCTATTCACGCCTCCTCCAGGCTGTGAACTGGGGGGTTGGTCTAGGTTTATGTGATATACTTGAGTTGGTTTTTGTCCCGGCGCGTCTGACTTTGGTCCAGGCATACTAGAACCCGGAGGTAATTCTAAATGATAGCCTTGTCGTAGTGGCAAATTGTAAGGTGCATAGATAATTGCCGGTCCTCTAGCATCTGGGGGAGCTTGTTGAGGTGGTGGAGGTGCATTGCTTGCTGTCTGATAGAAAAGCGTCCCAGGTGTCGGATATTCTGCAAAAAATGATTTTGGTTAAAAAGCATGTAAAATGTTGTCCACTAATTGCATTAATAAAAATCTTACTGTTCCACAACACTCTGGCGGAATCTGCTCCACGACGTTCATCGTGTTCTGAAAAATGTATAGTACAGGAATGAAATGGTGTAAAAGTACATGTTGTAGATTACACGTGATAACTTACTTGGAGGATTATAGTTCGTTTGCTTATAGTATCCCTGCTGCGTTGGAGACGGACTTCTTCCACGCTTTACTGGAGGATTGTTTGGCGGCTATTAATTAAGACAAACTATTTAGTAGCTTTTTATGAATATTCTGAAGGGGCTACTCACTTTTGTCAGTACAGGAATTTGTTGATGATGCTGCACTCTTGCGGGAGGCAAGAACACCTGCTGCTGGGGCGCACTGGTGGTTTGAGCTTGCAAGGCCTGCATAGCATACATTGTCTCATTGTCCTTCTGCTGTTTCTTTCGATTTTCATCTTCGTCTAAGACTTTCTTCAGCTGTAGAGACAGTTTCTCTTTCTGATTATGCAGCTCAGTTAGTTTCTGTTCCAGTTTGGTGATCTGACCACGAGTCTCCTCTAGGGTTATATCGTTCTCCCTTTCGCGTGCCTCGCGTTCTTTACGCTGCCTACTCTCCTCTAGTTTTGCCTCGAACTCTTTTGGATTCCAAGCGCAATAAAAAAGGCGTAAATGAAAATTAAATTAAACACAAATCGAATAAGTTTTAATACAATGATTTTACCTTCTTTTTTCCTCTGCCTTTCCTTCAGAATAAAAGATTTTAAGGCTCCACGTAGTTTCTCTTCCCTCTCTGCAGCCTTGGCCTGCACTGCCGCCGCGTTCGTGGCACTATTGGACCCCGAAGCGGGCGGCATTTTGGAGTTAAACTTCTTTTCCGTAATTTTGACGATTTTGTCAACAAATTTATAAAGAAAAATATTAAATTCTTCAGCTTTTAGCAGACGACGAAGCAGAGCGATTTTTTTTCGACGGCGGTATAACATGTGTGAAACAATTGACGGCGACACGCTGTGTCTACTCTACACGGTTGCCACCGTTTGTAGAATTCTACCAAAATCGGTAAATTTTTTATTTTTGGGAACCTTTTTAACAACGCTACCAAAATGCAATTGACCAAAATAATAATAATAATAAAATGCAATTGACAATCATATGTTTCTTGCTTTTTTCCATTTATACGTTTGACATATTCGATTTAGCAAATGAGTCCACCGCCCTTGTTTTGCCAGGGTAGTTGGCTTAATTTAACTCTATTACCTATATTTGTAACTCTATTAAATGTGTTATTAGTTAATGTCAAATGTTCCATATGTAAAAATATTACACGATGCGTTCAGCTGGACGACATTTCAGTGGTGAAATACATAAGTACATATGTGATTTTTCGATCACAGTAAGAACTATTTTCATCGGAAAAATATAATTTTAGCAAGTGTTTTTCATTGTGAAAATACATAAAATATAAATGAGTATTTTTTGAAAAAATTGAAAACATATGATAGCATTTCTTTATCCCCTTGCTAACAACCAGGAATGAAGTAGCGCGCACGGTTCAATAAGAAGGTAGAACAGCTTTTTAAAACTCATAGTAAAATGAAGAGGTAGTCTTTTCAAATAAGCATATCCACCTCTTTATTTTCTGTAATTTAACTTTTAACATTTCACTACATAAAAACTGGTTCCCATCTCTGATTTGTGAATGGACAATGGATTTATAAATACAAATTTTGACAAAAATTGTAAACATATGATTGCATGACTTTACATTCTTAATTCTACCATGGTAAAAACATGGTACAATTAGGAGGTAGAACAGCTTCGTAAAACTACTGAAATACAGCCCTGAAGCTATGCCCGATTCCTGTCAGAATTATTCAAAATTATAGGCAACAAGTTGTTTTCATTTGTTTGATATTTTTGTTAATTTTTAAAATGAAACAAATAGCGCGAAAGGTGAATGAAATGACTGGATTTTCTTTCAAAAATATGATCCTAAGTGTTGAATCTTTCAATTCCGTGGCAAATCTGGTTAATATCATTAATGCGCGCCCCTCTATTTAAGATTCTTCCAATCATTGATTTAAGAAAAAAATGTTTTTATTTTTCAAAAATTTTCAATGAACTGTCAAACCAAAAAAAAATGCAACTCTGTACTAGAGTCTTATTGCGTCCAATGGACATTT